AAAAAAAAAAAAAAGACATTTCCAACTGCCCAACCTGTGCGCCTTGTGCCATTGGGGAAAGATGAAAAAAAGCGTGCGAACACCGCGCGAGATAAACAAATTCGTTCGATTTGTCCAAAAGGCAAAGCAAATTTCCCCTCCGTTAACTGAAACGAACTTTCCCCCGTTAACCCCACTTTGGTGTTGTTTTCCCTTTTTTAATGAACAAAGCAGGTGAAAGTTGTGCACCCAAGCAGCTAGCTATCCCTGTTGTTGCGCATTTGAAGTTTTTTTTTTTTTTTTTTCCAACAATTTATGAACAGGTCAGGTAAAAATAGCTCTTTTAACCAGCTAGCTATTCCCACTGCTACGCTTTCCAATGTCGCGTTATTTTGCTTTCCAGTTCAGGGGTGTTGTTAAATGGTGGGCTTTTGCATAGCCTCCATTTCGCGCGTCACATGTCACGCTCTGATGAATGGACGGCGAACAAGTGGCCAAATAAACGGCAAAATAAACAGCGAAATGGAGTTGCAAATATTTTCTCACATAACTCAGCATACGGTTGCTCACACATTCGCACCACACCGTGCAACACTCCTAAAGGGGAGAAGCGGCTCAGACAAACCCTCTCCCCCCCCACAGCTTCTCCTTTTCGGTCTTGAAAAATCCTCCACTTGTTGCTCACCCAATTTTAGGATGGACAAAGAGGAGTCAAACGAGGGATTAATTCAGTTGATGTACGCGCAATGTCTCATCCAAGTGATCGTTCATTTTCCCCTCTTTTACCATGCCTCCTGCGACCCACTGTTCCCTGTGACCAACCCCGCTGGAGAGTCGGCCGCGCCTCCGCCCCTGCAACAAAGCGCAATTCTCTTCTCCCCCGACTCAACGGCATTTTCCGATACGTCCGATGACCACAAGTTTGATGTGGCAGTCAAAATCCCATTAACCCTAGCGTAATGAATCCCTCCACTATACAACTGGAAGGAAGAACAAAGCTGGTAGTTCTCCTTACACAGGTCAGCACGCATCGCCGTGGCATAATCACACTCGTAGTTTCCAACGTATACAAATTCTGTGTCGTGTATCCCCGTCACGCTGGAAAGAGCGAAAGAAATTATTTCTGTCTTGTTCAGGCTCCTGTTAAAGAAATACAGTTCGTCTAGGTACCCATTAAAGCTAGAGTAGTGCATGTTTTTTCCAATGGTTATGTCCCCTCCCCTTTCTTCCTCCTCATGGTTAGAGGAAGCGTTAGCGTTAGCTTTAACTCCTTGCTTGATGAGCACCGAGTTGTCCAATACCCCGTTCATGTAGAGCTCGATTTTTGTGTCGTCCATTGTGATGGCTATGTTTGTCCACCTCCTGAGTGGTATTTGCCCCATGGAAGACATACCTTCGTTTGAATTTTGGTCCGTAAGCACTCTCACAGATAGTTTATTCACGTGAGGGTACAGGAGCACGGCGATTTTTTCTCCCCCCTTGTGTCTGCGTGGTTGTTGGTGGTTGTGGAATGCAGCAATGTGGAGAGATAGGTTTAGGTGTGCGTGTGTTTGTGCTTCTTTGGAGGGGCGGCCGGACTCACACCCTATGGAGCCATCACAACCATGTCCCCTCGCACGTAGTAACGATAAGTCAACCTCTTACATCTGCGAAAGCACATTGCGGAAGTTATTCGTTGGCCTCTCCAGCAGGTATATCCAGAACACTCTGCGAGTCAGGGGGAAGGGGCAGCACATGTATACACATTTATATATTCTTCGTCACATAAACATGTGGAAGCAAACGTAAAGATGTATTCTAGAAGACACCAAAAAAGAAAAGCGGGTGCCTGATAGCTGCTCCCTGCACAGGTACGTCTCTCTTAACCCACATGGTGAACTGCGTCGTTTTCAACGTGTCGCCAGCGTGGACAAAACCGGAGTTATCTGCGGAGTGGGAGGTAGACCAAAGGAAAAAAAAAAAAAAAAAAAGGATAACATAACATAACACTTTTCACCATGTGGGATAGCTCAAAGAATGCATAACCAAGCAAACTCCCACTTAGGACTTTTTTTTTTTCTTCTTCGTTTGGTCGTCTCATCTTAGCAAGTATATGCACGTGGAATTCCCCCTTCCCCCCGTTGTGTGTTCTCCTTGCACAGTACCTCCCACGAAGGCCCCGCTGTATCCTCGCCCATTAAAGCCGGGGGCTGCGCGCACCAACTTGTGCATGTGGTTATTGTTCCAGCTGTAGTCCACGGCGTACATGTCGTCAAAAGTCCACTTGGCGATGAGCCCCTTGGGCACACTGTTGGACATGACGACTGTGGATGTCCCCCCCAGGCATATGCTATTCGGAACCCTAAGACATGTCTCGAAGAGATTGTCAAACGACCCGGAAAAGGATAATTCGCTGACGTAACTAAAGAGTGATTTTTCAATCTTGGTCGATCGGAAGGTAGCCACGAGGGCTACCAGGAGGAAAAGAACAGCTCGCAGCATCCTGCCCTCGTTGTGTACATAGGTATGCTTTTTTTTTTTTTTTTTTATGCTTCTATGTACGCAGTAGGCACATCGTTATTTCGCTGATTCGTCTATCCCCACGGGTGAGAAAATGTGAAGAGGAAAAAAAAAAAAAAATACCCTTTTGCTGTGCACAGTACGTTTAACGACCTTATGTGGTGGGTAGACAGATCTTCAAGCAAGCGAACGCATCCATCATGCGCGCAAGTGTCAATAAACGTGGTTTCTCTGTCCCGGTCCATCTCAGCAGCTCGCTTGTGCATTAAGAGGCGAGCACCATCTGGTGTACGTACGCATGCAGACGCACTGACGTTTATTATTGTCCCCCCTACCCCTCAAAAAAAAAAAAAAAATCCCCAATTTTGTGTCAATTTATGGGCACAATTAAATCGCCCTCGCGAATTTAAACGAAAAAGGAAAATAAAGACAGCCACCCACCTTTTGACGCGTTAATTCGACTTTTTTTTCTTTTTTTCCTCCCTTTCCTGCACGAGGTTTGTTCTGCTAGCTATTCTCATTTTTGTGCACTTTTTACCTGAACAGGTCAGGCGAAAAATCAGTTAAAAAAAAAAAAAAAT